ACGACCGTCGACCGCGTTCCACTGGCCCGTTGCGTTGACCGAGCGGCTTCTGTTCTTAGAACGAACAAGTAATAGCAGGGCTGCTGCAAATGATTCGGCAGACCACTTAATGTATCGATTTCTAAAGAAAAACTAACAGCGCTCAACTTGACTCCATAGAAATCTCGAGCAAGTGACGCAGATGTGTGAAGTTTGATCGGAAGATTCTTTTTGGAATCCGCCACGCACTTCACTTCCATTCGGAATCGTAGTACAGCTCCATTGCGAGTATCTGAATATTAAACAGCTTACACTGCAGTCGGACTTGACCAGCTACGTGTTTTTTTCGTTTCATTCCCCCCCTTCCCCCCGATGACCTGAATAAAAAACCACACTCAGGTATGGGATCGCCTGACGCTGGTGCGCTTCTCATGGACGTCATTGTTGCAGGTCCTTCACGAAATCTCTCCCAGCCGAATAGGGCTCTAGAGCACCAATGATATTATGACAGAAACCGGAAACCGCACTGCCCTCCAACCATAGCCTTTAATAGAAGGCATGACTGGGGTAGTGTTCGATCTAGGATTTGGACTGTAGACTATGCGTAGGTGCTGCTTGGCTTGTCAGCGCTCCTCCTCGCCCATGATATTTTAGTTATGTACAAGTATTTATACAAGGGGCGGAAGTGGTGTAGTGGCAAGTGGCACGCTTACCACGCGAGCGGTCCGGGGATCAAATCCTGGGTCGTGAGTCGCCCGGGCCAACCAAGCCTTCCATCCCTCCGGGGTCGGTTAATTGGTACCAGACTTGTCTGGGAGGATAAAAACACTGACTTGTACATCGGCTGGCCCCCGCAAGTCATTGTATAGGCCACATCGCATTCAAACGCCACTACGAATGTACAAATGGAAGTAGAATGCGTGCCGCATCCCAAAAAGGGATTGATCAACGGCAAATGCTTTATCCTTTATCCTTTTATTTATACAAGCATTTGTCGTGCGGCTGATTCGCCATAGATGAATAATAGTAGCTCACCTTTAGTGTGAGATAACAACTGCTGTTGTCAGCGTTATCACGGATCCTTAAGGGGAGGGGGGGACTTCATTGTGTAGTCCTGAATAAAAGGCAAAGCGTGCACTGTTGATCAAGCCCTTTAGAATGTGCCATGCATCCGACTTCCCTCGCTAATTGTAGCTGCATTTAAGTGTTCATTTGGCATACACCAATAATTGTTAACCGATGTAAAGCGTGAGTTTTTATGTTAGACGAATCTGGACCAAATACAGACTCCAGCCCTGGAGGAGAGCACACGCTCAGATTTCGGTCCAGAATTTGATCCGCGGACGATGCTGTGCGCTAGCGGGACTACATGTCTGCTCTCGCTTTAGAACAGCACTTTTAGAGGTCTGGATCCCTTCTGAATTTCTAAGCATCAGTTCTAGGTAACTTCAAGTTCAAGTTAAGGTGCAGTTATGACCCGTGTTCATAGATCGCTCCGATTGATTTGTTGTTTGGTCGAACAAACAACCGACGACTGCAGTTTCTTATCGGCACCATGGCCTCTGCGGGCACGGTGGTCGGCCAGTTATCGACCACGTTCGCCGCTGCTCGTCGGTCTGCTCTGCCTTCACCATCCCTTTAAGCGTAGTGGAGTGCTGACGTTCGATTGTGTACAAAGTAGTCAACTATTAGCGGAGTTTTGGTTTTGGCGGTGCTGTTTTCTAACCCAGTAGTCTCGAAATTAGTTCGAATAATCCATATAATTATTAGCGGAAATTATCCGCCGTTTTTTCATGCTCATGGCTTTTTGATTTTTGCCGATTATTTCCGGAGTTTATGATAATCTGAGAGCGATTTTTGTTTGCTAACTACGGAGCCTACACACGAGCAAAAAAGGCTGATTATGCTACATGAGTACAAGTTGAGCTCGAAACCGAATGTTGCCACATCTGCTCGTGAAAGTAACGAATGCTGGGGAAGGCACGGTTGCACAAAGGAGTGTTTGAGATGTTTGTAGATTAACCATTTGTTCTTTTTGCCTGGTTTGTGAAATGATTGATGAACATGGACGGCGACGAGATAAGTTCCTATGCAACTCTCAAAAAAACTTTCAGCTTATGTAGTTTTCAATTAGGGTTGTGGGACTTGTCGCATCATGCGTTAAGTTTTTTTCAGGGCGTCAACGATAAACTCAAGCCTGACCTTTTGATTGTCGCTATCCCAACTTTGAGCAATTGAACGCTCTGATTGTGAAAAATATGGGAGCCTACCTGATGACTGATTGTTTTTCTCAAAGATAACTGTGTGTAAAGTGACCCCCACGATCGAAGTAACAATCTTTCTAACTATTCATTTGAGCGATACGGGAAGGGGGAAGGTCGACGCGGAGCTGGGGAAGGGGAAAGGGAGGGGATCGTGCGGCATCTTAATGCAATAATTCACGTGGGCAAGAAAAATTCCAACTTTTCGCAATGAGTCCTCTGCAAAGAATGCCACACGAGCTTCTTTCCCACACCATTTTTTATTGATTTTTCAAAAGCTTGCTTACATATTTTGGTACAGTGATTGAGAAACCATTTCGGTCAAGACTAAGAAATTTTTCGGTGGAAGATTGGCTCTGGAACAGAAATGAACAGATTTGTTGTTTGTCAAAGCTTTCCATTTCGTGGACAACGTGCATTTCGGCTCCTTCCGTATATCCGGCATCCCCCCCCCGCTCTTAGGCTTTGAATTAAGCAAAATCCTCATCCCCTGGCTTATCTTGGCTGCTTTGTACTCACATGCCTTGACCACTTTAGGTCACATGCGCATTTCCAATTGAGCTATCAAAATCAAACTACTCTGGTGACAATAAGCCCAAGGCTAAGAGGTGGGAATCGGCACAGAGAAAAGTGAAGGGGAAGGACCATGAGGATTTAGAAGTTCTTCAAAGAGGAGAGGTGGTTTACACGTCATTTTGCATGGTATTACAAGTTTTTGTTTCCAACTCATTGATTGCCTGATTTGTAGTGAACTAATGAAGTATAAGAACTGGCAGCACACGTGGCAATGCTATCTCCTGTATATAAAGAGGAGTGTGGGATAAGTTCTTGTCGAACTTCACCATGCGCTTCAAAACCCTTTTCAGCGGCAGTATGTTCATCTATGCGATTTCGGAAGCGTTGAAGAACATCTTCCAGGTGTGTTTTCATAGAAATTTTTACTATACGGTCCAAAAGTGCAGCGTTGTGGGAGGAATTGGCGCTTCCCTTTGATCGCCCTTCCTCATCAATCTAGAAGCTGGTTCTCTCATAACTGCGAAGGTTTCCGCCACTGCAGCGAACCTGAGTTTGCTATCAGTTCCTTTTTGCGTGGACTGTAAACGATGGCGTAGTATGAAATGTCCGGTGATAAAGTGCACACAATGTGCTCGGTTTCGCGGCACAGAATGTGATGTCAAAATCGAACCCATCTCTTTTCGAACTAGTGGTGATGCCGCGCATCTCGCAGGTGGCCCCTACTTCTGAACAGCACTCCGCACGAGTTCCATCTCTAGCAAATCACCAGCAGATTTTCTTCGACTTGGGCTGTAGTCCCTACTTGTTCACAATTCATTTGGCTCACTCAAATGATTCTGAAAAACTGCTTGGTCGTGTGGACCATTCTCTCCATGTCCCTTACCCTGGAATGCGCTTACCAATCGGCTGTGTTTTTGGAGGTTAACCGAGTTTTTCCTGTGTGATCGAAGGCCAACGTGGCTGTCGCAAGTGATAAGACATCGAAGGCCACCATGGCTACAAGCTACGACTCAGTTTGGCTGTCAAACGTCGAAGCGAATGAAGTGGTTTCTAAGATCCGAAATAGGTTAGCGCAGAGAAGGTACAGTATTTGGTGCCGCGTCGTGGTTGCACAGCTCTCTTGGTTTCCAACCGAAAATTTTGCTGCATAATAGTCGAATGAGGCATAGAGAACAATCATGCTATAAGTAGTTGTTCTGCGAAAGTGGTTGTGTTACGACAGCCAAGCTGTCCTCTTAGGCCGCGTTCATAGTTCGCGACTGCGGGGATTAGGATAGTACGCGACAGTGAAAAAGATATGTATTAACGGGAAGAATAGGTCAGTAGTATATCTAGAGATTATCTACTACTCGTCTGGCGATTTCAGCCAACAGATCTCATCTTGTCAAGCGCGCCTTCCCTACTATCCTAATTGCACAGGTCGCACTATGACTCGGCCGTAACGTTCCAAAATTTTATTAAATGGTTCTGGTAATCATAGGGCGAACTTGGAAACTATCAGTTGGATAGCGCACGACCTTTCCTGCGACTTGAGGGTTAAGCAGGATCAGATGCAGTGCTTGCGTAGGGCTTGGACTCGGCAAAAACTTGGGCAGAAGAATGCGTTTGCCGTGGTCCCATCTCTGACGGAGAGTACCTAGTATTACCTTCTACATTTTGACGCGTGGGATGGGTGGTGGTGTCAAGGAAACCAGGACGAGCACCAGTGATGTTTCTAATGCAACTGAAGTGAAGTGTCCTCGAACGTCGATGAATTCATGTGCAGTTTGCAGACGCTTTCGTCCAAGGCAGCGGCTTTTTAAAAACGAGGGTTATGATGAGAGAAAGTGGGAGTACAGTTTCGTATGCGTTTCATGATCCGATCGAACACAGGCTTGCTAAAAATGAATTTCGTGGAGTTGGATCGGAGTGTCTTCTCAAGTAGCATTTTTAGATGCATTTCGAATGGGATGAATTCCCTTCCTTTATGAGAATAACTTGCATCTCAATTCTGATTATAGCGATCGATGCGTATGTTAGCGTTTTGCTCTCTCAATCGAATGTCCTTGACTGGCAAACAATCGAAAGGCATTAGTCATTCTGTAACACCGCTTTTCGAGAGCTTTGCTCGCTGTATTATTCTTTGCTGGTTTACTATAGAACCATTTTTTGTTCCAATTTATTTCGTGTGCTCCTTTTATGAGTGTGTTCTTCATGCTTGCTACCACATTTTTTTCTTCACTTTAGGTCGACGCATCTCAAAGGATGAGCAACCGTGCAGTAGCCGTATTGCGAGGTGATCCCGGTGTGACGGGGACGGTGTGGTTCAGCCAGGTTATTCTTTTAGTTGTAGCGATATTACTTCATACATACCTCCCTTTCAAAAAACGAGAAGAGCGTCGTGTGCAGACCATACACCACAAGTGACGACAGCTTCTTTTCTGGTAAACATAGTTGTAATTAGTGACAACTGATAGAATACAACTGCAACAGGCTAATCATTTCATTGGCAGAAAACATTTACATTTTGTGGAGGCCGTCGTCACTTGTGGTGTATGGTCTGCACCCGACGCTCTTCTCGTTTCTTTTTGAAGGGGGGTAGCTCCTAAGTATTATCAATCTGTAGCCATAGAAAACTACCTGTATTTCAATCAACCTCTTGCAGGACAAGGAATCTGACCAATGCGTGATCAAAGGCGAAATCAAAGGTCTGACTCCCGGTCTTCATGGATTCCATGTCCATCAGTACGGCGACTCCACTAATGGTTGTACTTCTGCTGGGCCACATTTCAATCCTTTCAACAAAACTCATGGAGGACCTAAGGTACGAATTTGTTGGTTAGAAGTTCAGCTGTCTTCACTTAGTAGTGACCGCAAAAAAAACGAACACAACGAGAGTTTTTCGTTCGCCACAAGTATGTCTGAATCAGATTGGTTCCATATCGATCGCTTTTGTGCGTGGTACTATTTATCTGGGGATTATCTATGAGTAACAATCGGACATAAGTTAAGCAGATTATTTGGACAAAATGTCTGTTGCACTTCCTAGAGTCAGTCGCACCGTGTGCTGCATGAAACTAGTTTTTGCTTCCTATGTGCTGTACACTGAACAGTACTTGGGTTGTAAAAATCAGTTGTTGCATTGATATAGTTGTAGCTCTCTCGAGCTGGATTTTTTCTTGATACCAGGAATGGGTAAAGCTGGCGGAAGTGTTGTGCAGTAGCTGTCAAAAGTGTTTGCTGAAGAGGTTTTTCGTGCATTTTCTTTTCCTACACTTTTACGCGTATTTCAGAGCATTTTATCCGACATTTATATATGCGATACCTTTGAATGTCGCGAACTCTGACACCTATCCAAAATTCCGCAAACGTAAAGCAGTATTTTTCACGAAAGAATCTAATAGTCTTACTAATGTAGCCTGGACTCGTTTTTACTTCTTCCATAAATCACATTCATAGTGGTACTAACTCAAAGAAAAAATATACAGTTCTCACCAAGATCATCAACCCCAGCATGAACAACAAGGGAACGTCCGACAACGGTGTTTTCTCCATG